TGCTGCATAACCTTAAACTGTACGGTCCTAGCCACATGACTTTAAACTGCATAGCCATGGTCCAAGCTACAAGACCCTAAAACTGTAACGCATGGCACAAAAAAGGGTCCATACGCACAACTCCAATCGAGAGATCGAACACCTCCTTGCTGAAAGGGTATTTCATCAATATCCCCAGTGGAGTTAGATATGTGCAAAAGTCATACCTAGCCCTTTAACCCCTAATGGGTTTGTTTCACACCAACATCTTAGTAAGAGTCATGTCTAACTATGACCCACTATCCCCAGGGAGTTTAGGTCCTTTCTTATCCTCTCAACCCTCATATGGTTCATCCGTACTCTGGCATATCATCCTCAGCAGAGTTACATGCATGCCATTGCTCATTATCCCCAAAAGGTCACACTGGACCTTCTAATCCCCTTTGAGGTCACGTTTGCCTGCCACTCCTCGAGTGCCGCCATCTCTATCTAAACCTCTCACTTATGTGTAGCCTTAACTATCCCTATCCATAGGGAGTCAAATTGCTATCCACAACCTATCCCCCATGTAGCTTTACCTACATGGAGACCCACACACTGATCCATGCTGCATGACCTTAAACTGCATAGCTATGGTCCAAACTATATGTCCTTAAACTGTAGCAGAGGTCTCACTGCATGACCCTAAACTGGATGGTCCTAGTTGCATGACTTTAAACTGCATAATCATGGTCCAACTGTATGACCCTAAACTATAGTGCACATCCTGGCCGCATGACGTAAAACTACTTTGCTTAAGTCCAGGGGGCATAACCTTAAAGATGCCCCCACATACGCGCACACGTCCTTTACGTGCATCTTCACACATGCCTTCCCTAGCCGGCCCATTCATGTGCGCGCATCACCTTCACCATCATTACCATCTTTTCCTTAAGTGAGTCTTAACCATTCTCACCAAACAACGAACCCTTCTACGAGCCATACTCGCCGTCAGCTAGTGGGTCACCATTGTTCACCCATCATCCATCCACCATCAACTCTTCATAAGGAAAATTCATGCCATCTTCCCAAGTGAGTCAAAGTCATCACCAAGCTCACTTTATGGCCTCCACAAACTGCCATTCACCACCACTACGGTCCAGCTGTAGGACCCTAAACTATAGTGCACGTCCTTGCTGTATGACATTAAAAGGCTTTGCAAAGGTCTCGAAGGCATGACTCTAAATACGCCTTCACATGAAAATAAAACGAGCATGGTGTGCACTTGACAAGGGAACTCCATGAGTAAAAATGATAGACGAGCATGGTCATGAAACCATGAGTAAAAGAGTTTTGTGGGGAAAAAAAAAAATCCAGGCCTAATGAAAACCCCAAAGGGAATGGTGAGTAAAAACGGACGAAAAGGGTGGAGATGACCACAGGTCATGAGTAAAAGAGCCCAGAAATAGCAGAAGTTGGTGAAAACTGTCTTTACGGTGTCACTTCCCCTGTTCAAGTGAAAACCCGCAAAAGGGCGCTTGGATCAACAAGACAGGCCGACGCATGACAATTGTCTCAACCGACATTCAATCTTCAAACAGTCACAATCCTGGCTAATGAGGTTTGCCTAAAATCCTCAAAAGCCAGCATCCAATCGCAACACCACATGGCTCATCAAGGGGTGAGAGCCGCACAAGATCCCCCATGTTTCAACAAGGCTCATCAGCGAGTGAGAGCCGCATAAGATCTCCCAACTATCATGGCTCATCAAGGGGTGAGAGCCACATAAGATCCGCCACGCTTCAACATGGCTCATCAGGGGGTGAGAACCGCATAAGATCCCCTCATGCTTCAACTTGGCTCATCAAGGAGTGAGAGCCGCATAAGATCTCCCCCAATCAACAACAACAAGAGTCCTTGAGGGTGAGGTCGATGACTAAAAGATCCCTCAGTAAATGCTAAGGACCATCACGAAGGCAAGAAACTGACAAAGTCAGGGTCTAACCTGCCACAGGCTTTAGGGTACGTCTCGCTAAAACCCCCTAGCCTACATGGGACCAGACTTTTGGGACAGGTCAGAAGCCCCCGATTGGACCCCGCTAGATGGGACCTACAGAGATACCCTACGCATCAAAAGCAAACCTGGTGCAGTAGCGAACAATGCCGACCAAAGGTTCAGAGCATTTGGCCTTCAAAAAAGGCCTGGTCGTTCCTTGAGGGAGAGGACTTTGACAAGATCCCTTAATACTTCCCAAATGATTGCACTACTCGATTCTCTCGAAGCACAACATTCGGCGGGGCATGATGTTGGAAGGTATTTTTCATCAACATGGGGCCCCTACTCAATAAAGCCTACCAAATAGTGGAATTTTCGGCAGTCTTATAATAACCCTAGAATCAACCAAGGTCTTCATAAGGTCTCTCAAAAGTCTCCTGCCAATTTCATCATAGTTCGACATATCTAAGGCAGTGTAGACTGAGGAACAGTTCCAGTAGAATCGGCCTCTAGCACCTTGAAACGACCCTATAACTAAAGCTATATTTTCGGTATCTCAAATCACTGTGGGACATGGTGAAACCCCCTGGGGTCAAATTTCAGCCCGAACAGACGCTTCAGGAATAAGTTATAAGCAAAAGAGTGAAACACGCCGCACGCTATTCTTGTGCGGCCACCCTGCAACTCCACGCCATAGAAGGGACAGTCATGACCAATGACTTTTGACACTCATATCTCACCCATCCCAAGTCAAATCGCGATCAAATTTTGTGAGCATGTTCGTCTCTCCAAGACGAATGATTCGCTATGTGGCACTCCTGGTGACAACACCCGAGCACGAAGAAAACCTAGATAGAAGTTGCTGAACCGTGAAGAAAGTGCAGAAAATTCAACAACGTCGTGCCTCGCTTGAGCCACTAGATCACACCGCTCGGGCTATCACTAACCCAAACCCCGTACATGATGAACGGTCGAATTCTATACACAAAGCTGATGAACGACTGCAAATTTCGTCGTCAAAGTTCCTGATTCCGGCGAAAATTTCAAAGTTGTAGAATCTTCGTTCGGGTACAAAATTAAGCTGCGTTTGTTGCCTCGCAATTGTAACAACATGCTCAGTGAAATTCAGTGAAGAAATCACCAAAAAACGTCAAGGAAAGAGTACACTATCGATCCAAAGTTTCAAGATCCATTCAAATTTCAAGTCACATGATCGTGCACTAAAAACACAATCCATGGCTCGAAGTTGGTATCAAATTAATTGTCATGCAGAGCACTACAAGAAAACAATCATCTTATGATCAGCCGAGCATCAGAATGAACCGGATCAGCCATGTAAGATCACGTAAGTTCTGGGCAACATAAGGACTATTTTGAAATTTCACGAGTTGTTATGAAGGGGCAAATCTATCATTTTACACTCTATTTTCTAAATTCTTTTAATTCAATTTAATCTTAATTTCCAGCAATTAGGGTTACTTTTGATCATCCACCTATGTTTGGGGCAAATTCTATATATGCGTACCAGCATTGTACACACTAGAGGACTCAACCTTTCACAAAAGAAAGAGTCTTTACTTAATACATGTTTCTCTTTCTTTTCATTATTGGGTCACGTTTGAGAGAGAGAGTGAGGTGAGAGAAACTTTTGACCGGTACCCTTAGGTTCGAGGTAAATCTTCTCTCTCTTATTTTCCTTTTCTTCTCTCTCTCTTCTTTCCTCTCTTATTCCTCTTCCCCACCTTAGGTCCATGCAAGGTCATGCACGGTAGTGGCTGTGCCATGCATGCCTCCCCAGAGGTCACACAAGTCGTGCATGGCGATGGCAACACCATGCGTGAGCCTCCTTCTCCTTCTTTTATTCTATCTCTTTTATCCAATGGGGCCCGTAGACAGCACTGCCCATTGTCTTCTATAGACATAACATGGACATCTTAGTGAAGAACCCAGACCGTGAAACCCATTTCCGCTGGTAGGGGTCCTGCATGTTTCGCGTCTATAGCAGACGGTGATACCCATCGCCTCCCGCTATAGGCCTTGGCAATGTCTACCACCGTCCGTGCGCTTCCTTTGCGTGTTCGACATTCATCACTGTCCTTCTTGTGTCCCACGCCTATCACTGTGCGCCTTGTGAGGATTACCACCGTGTGCTTCATGAGTGACCATCGCTGCGCACTTCATCAGAAACTATCGCCGCCCGCGCAGGGGCGTGTTGTTTTCTTATGTTGCCGTATGGATTTCATGTTTTGGAAATAGTGCATCTTGTTATGTATTTTTGGACCGTCAATTATTAAGTTTTCATAGATCTGCTTGATCTACATTATCTTTTAATCTTTAAATTTTATAATCAAAGAACCTTAAAGTTTTATAATATTGAAACCATATTACTCGATGCTAGTTGAAGATACACTTTAATTTGATTGTTTAGAGCCTCTGTTCTACACAAACCGCACCCAATTATGAAACACTAACAAAAGGACCCGGTTTATATGGGCCTCTTAATAAATCTATTTTTGAGATAAATTTTAAGACTTAATTTTTTTAAAAATGTAATCTCTAACATGGAGATCATGAATATGAAAAAATAAATAAATTTTTAAAACTAAAAATAATAATTCTAATAAAAAAATATTTGGATAGTTAGTTCCTATTATTTTTAGAAAAAGCGCGTAAAAATAGGGTCCAGTCCGCATGAAAAAACCACCCAATCAAAAAAAAAAAAAAAAGGCCCAGTTTCATATGGCTGCCGTAAGATGACATAATTTGACATACCACGCCAAAATGGAGAATGCTTGGACAATGGGCAACGTGTAATCATAGAACATGGCTATAGCATCGACCTGTCTTGAACCTCCAAGAAAGGACCCAAGAACGCTGTATGACCACGTGTGTAGCGAGAGAACGAGAAGCCACGTGTGTAGAGAGGGTACGAGAGCCCTCATCGATCCAGAACCTTCCGCATTTCTTGTTTCTTCTAGGCGCCTCTCACTCTCTCAACCTATAAATTGGATCCGCCCTCTTCTCCTTGTTTTGCCAGGGACTTTAACTCGCCAAATAGCTCAAACTGCCCTGACTCAAAATTGGTCCCACTCTGTGATCCTTGAGCAATAAAATCCATGATGTCTGCTAATCTGATCAGTGCCTCTCCACTTCTTTCTCACTCTAAATCTTCTGTCACACCATGCCTGGCCTTCTTCCCTTCAACCAAGAAAACGTCATCAAACAAATCCTCTTATCTTTCACTAAGGCCAGGAGCTACGTCCGAGAACCAGGGTAGCTCAGTCGACGTCCCAGGACCAAGGCAAAGCGATGGAGACCAAACACAGACGATCAACGCTTGAATCTCCCCCTTTGGTGAGTCACACCCTCTTTCATGTCTTCGGGGGAAAGTGCAACCATCTCAAATAATAAGGAAGTTTAAGTATGGATACCGAAGGCAGCTGGGCGGGAAACAGTTGGACCCGGCCCGTCTCTTGTTCCATAGGGCTAGCCGTGACAAAAATAAGTGAAAAACTAGGAAATAAAGGTGGCTAGGCTGGGCTGAATATGGTCGGAACTAGCTCCAGCTTGGCCTTCTGACTATTAACAAAAGTAGAAAAATAAGAAAAGCAAAAGATGGCGGGCCTTGTCGAGCCAGGTTGGGAATGTTTCTAGCCTAGCCCTCTGGCCATAGTTTGTAGATCTAGCCTTACTTCTTTAGGCCGCTGGGAGGGCACCTAGCCCATTGCCAGCTCTAGATTTGGGCTCCATAATTTTATCGATAGTCCTTGATTAGTTAATTTATTTTCTTAAATAGTCAGGTTTTACCCATGAATTTTTTTTTTTTTTCTAACTTTGATTGCATTCTTAATTTGCAAAATATGGACTGCTTCGTTAATTTTATTTTTTAATTTTATTGACTTATATATGGTGTGTTGGCTATGGATGGTGTGGTTTGATGTTAGAAATATGGAAATGTGTTTACGCTTTGGTGAATTTTATTCTTTCATAAGACATCAGCATTATACCAAGCAATTTTCATCATTTCTAAATGTTCCAATGTTTGGAACATTGTTGCCAGGTTTACTCTCCTATGAGACCATGCGCCAAATGATGGACACAATTGACCGGCTTTTTGAGGACGCGCTAACGTTTCCTGGTTCGAATCGGCCCGTCTGGGAGATAATGTCACCTTGGGATTTTAAAGAGGATGATAACCAAATCATGCCCGGCTTATCAAAGGAGGAGGTCAAGGTTTCGGTGGAAGACGACGTTTTGGTGATCAAAGGAGAGCAGAAACGGGAGGGCGAACAGGATGCTGGGCAAAACAAAAACTTTTGTTTATATGACACACGTCTGCTCTTACCTGATAATATTGAAAAAGAAAAGATTAAGGCAGAGTTCAAGAATGGGGTGTTGCTAATTACAATTCCAAAGATCAAAGTTGAGCCCAAGGTCATCGACGTCCAAATTGAATGAACCATGTTCCATGCGTTTGTTGGTGTTTGTATATATTGTTTTGGTTCCTGCCTTCAAGAAAATTAGGTGAAACTGTGTTAATATTCCGTAATTGCAATAGGAAAGTTTTTGTTCCGGTGAATGCTTATGACAAAATTTAATGATGAATATTTTTTACATCTTTCCAGGCATGTCGTTTCTCGTTCCTAAACTGAGAGTGAATATATTTCCATGGATTATGGACCACATAAGTTACGAAATGGCACGAATACAACTACCCATTTTCAAGGCATATGTAATAATTCTAGCGTTTTACTAAAGATGCATGTGTTTCAAAAACAACTTTCAATTTTTAATTTTTAATTTTAAAATTTAGTGCCAAGTGTATTTTATAGTATAGACCTTTTGGTCAATACTTATTTGCAGTGTGTTTTACATTAAGGTGGTTACATTGAGGTCGTTATTTTTGCCACCTTTGGCATTTTTAACAATTTTATGGATATCTCAGGAGGTGTTACAATTTGTTAGCCTCTCCCTCTCTTTTAAGCGAACTCTCTCCCTCACTAAGAAGGCCCTTTTAGCAGTTAACATGCAGGGGCTTCCTCCAGGAAGCATGAAGCTAACCGAGTTCACCTGATTTATCAGGTAAAAATTTGATCTTATGGCATGAAATATATTTGGCTACCATATTCAATCAAAGTTTAATTACATAGATGGGAAGATTGATGTGGTGACAAGCTACCATATTCAATCAAACTTTAATTACGGAGATGGGAAGATTTATGTGGTGACAAGTTTGCCATCTTAATCGATGTTTAATCATACCGATTCGATTATTTTTGCAGTGAGGTTTGTTTTCAATTGGTATTGAAGTATTATATCAATTGAAAAGGTATTATTAGTATTTTTGAGATTGTTTCATACGGGTTTTGCAATTCAGGGATAAAAATTATATTCTGATCTGGCTGTATCATACTTGTAGGGACTCGTTTGCGTATTGAAATTTTATTGAGACTGAAAATGAGAGTATCTCGTGTCTCCAGATCCTCTAATTCGGTCCCACTTTTATTGGAGTTTATGTCCATACAAACGACAATTTCGAAGTTGATGACTCAGTCACTGAACCATAAGAATCAAGATTGTCTAAAGCCAGACTTGTTTTTTTTTTCTTTTTTTTTTTTTAAGTGATGTGCATTATAAGAATCAAGATTGTGTAAAGCCAGATCTTTTTTTCTTTTTTAAGTAATGTGCATTATAAGAGTCAAGATTGTGTAAAGCCAGATCTTTTTTTTTTGAAGTGATGTGCATCATTTAAAATGGCAGGAGGCTTCAATTTTTAGAAAATTGGAAGGTGTGTATAGACCATTAGTCATGTATTTGTCGATTTTATATTTGTCGATTTTATAATTGATATAAGGCCTTGGGCATAAGTGATCGATGAATATATATTTAGTTGTCATTTCTGCTGTCAGTGGAGTAGGGGCAACCAATGCTTGGGTGGATTGAAGTACCGCGGGACTTGTTTTCAAATTTCAACTAGTTTTGGGACTCAGAGAACTGGTGGGGGTGACATTGTTATGTAAAAGGACTACTTCATCTCGGTCGAGGGACATCTGATTTAATTCACGTCCCGTGAGGTCTTTGTTTTTTAAATTTGTATTATGTCCTTGAAATCTAGAGATATTTTGATTAAGTCTTGGATTTACATCTCAAGCATATTTTTTATGAAATTTATGGTTACTTTTTGTTGTAGGTCAATTGGATAGATGTACCAATAACCTATATTAAGGGTGATCTGTTGCATTAAAAGGTTTAATGATGTCTTTTGGATTCTAATGAATTTATGACTATCAGATGAATCTCTACTTATGGTGGGATATATTTTTTTGATTCTAAGAGGTCGATTTTTATCTCCAAATTATTTGAGAAAATTTCCTTGGAGCCCATAGTGAGGAGGCTAAGTGGTTAAGGACTTGATGGTAGATGTACTACATGTTTAACGCTCGTGCTTGCAATCTCATACAATGTGATGTGATTGTGAAGCACTTGTATACCGAGTGAAAGGTTAGGAATTTATTTCGGCACATCCAATTACACTCGCTTGAGGTATAGTCAGTACTCGCTTGAGGCACAATCAGTTGATACTTAAGCTTAAGATGGAGGTATAACAGTACTTCATATATATTATGTAGACAACCCTCTCGAAATTCTGGTTGAGGAACCTCGTAAAAACCTTGATTCTGAGCCTAAAGGACCACACAAATCCTTATAGACCTTAGGCAACCTAGAACAAATACAATTACTTCAAAATTGCCCAAAACCAATCCCAACTTGAAGTTATAGCCCTAGAGGTTTTCAACAGTCCAAGAATCGTCTAAATCAGATCTACGGATAAAACGATCTAACAAATGATAATTTAGTCCTTGTAACACCCAAGTATCGGGCCACGGGCTGGGTTGGAATGTAGCCCGGCAGTCCTTGAAACGGCTTGATGATACAGTTAATGTGTTTTATGATGTAGTAAAGACATTTTCTTTAATTAGATAAAGATAAAGCTTCAAGATAAATCCAAACAATTTCTAAAAAAATCCAAAACAATCAAGAAAGATCACCTACAGAATTCTATAAATACCCCCTCCATAACCCAAAAAAAGAAGACCAAAAAAGAGATCAAGAAATCCCTAAGAAATTTTCGAAATTAGAAAAATTACCCAAAATACCCAAAATAGGAAAACCGCTTAGATAATTCCTAAATATTAGGGAAAATCCCCAAAAATCACAGAAAATCCCAGAATTAATATTCAACCTTAGAAGATTCCAAAACCCTTAAAAAACTAGGGAAAATCTACACCAATTCATAGAAAAGCCTAGGTAGACCTTACCTAAAATTCCTAGCTTTTTCCCTTTTACCTTAAGAACCCTAGATCTAGGGCAAAATAACCGTAGATCTACCAATTCCAACAAGCAAACACATCCAAAAAAAAAGATGGTGGCGTAAATTGGAAGAATAGCCTGTTCCAAGCCAGAAACTCTGCGTTTCGGGTGAGGTTAGTATATCTTTCTTTGCTTAATTTAATTTATTTTTCTTCATTGAATTATCTTCTTTATTTTATTTTTTCTGGAAATTAATTCATCATTAGATTTAATTAAATTTAGAAATGTTTTTTTTAAGTCAAAATACGGATTTGGAGCTAGCGCTACTAGTGGACTCAAAAAAAGACTAGATCTGTATAGATTTGGGATTTTTCTGAACCGATAATCCAAGCAACCCCACTCTTTCTACCTTTTCAAAAGCAACTCAGTTTTTGCTAAGATTTGAGTAGATCTCATCCCAGAGATCGGTTCAGATCGGAGCGTAAATAGTTTGGGGTTTACCGTGGGGCACCTTTAGCTTCAAATCCGTATTTTAAACTTAAAAATGCTTCTTCTCTTTTCTCATATTTATTTTTCCAGCAAAAATAAAAATAATAAAATAATAAAAAATAAGAAAAATGCGGTAGATTTAAAAATATTTCTTTTTATTAGATTATATCTTTTCTTTCTAGATCTTATTGTTTTTCTCCATAAAAAATTGAAGATCTTTTTCCTCTCAATCTTTAGATCTATCTTTTAGATTATCTTTGGATTCATCTTTTACATCAACCTTTATTATCTTGGTTAGATCATCTTCTTTTAGATCCTTCTAGATCATCTTTATCTTTAGATCTTTTTTTATTTTCATCTTTTAAAACATCTTTATCATCTATGTTTTTTTCGAACAACTTTAGATTCATCTTGATATCATCTATATCATCTTGTTAGATCGTCTTTCATTCATGTTTATCTTCTTAAGATCATCGTTAAATTTTTTTAGAGCATTCTTTATTATGTTTTAAATCATCTTGATCTTTTTTAAAAGCATATTTATCTTCTTTAGATTATATTTTATCTTCGTTAGAACTTATCATCATTAAGTGCATCTTTATAAAAAGAATCTGTATGTCTTTCCTAATTAAAAAATAAAGGAAGAAGATACTTTATCTCTTTTGACCAGATAATTTAATATATATATATATATATATATATATATATTATTTATATATATATTTATTTTTTATTTTTTTTGTACATAATCTTGTAGTTATGTCCATAGTTCATGGTGACTCAGTTATTTAGTTTACGTAGTCTCGACTCCTTTAAATGACTAGACCTACAAGACCTCATGGCTCAGTTCCCTAGGTTTGTCATGTCTTAAGTCAGTCGATATCGAGTTTCAGTGGGTCCATAATCCCACACTCAAGGCTAAGCCTAGCTAACCCATTTGTAGTCCAGCCAAATGGGGGACTGCAACCAGTTTGTATGGCTCGAGCTATTCAAAACAGTTAGAGCATTCGACTCGAAACTAAAGAATCAGGGTTGAACCCACCTTCATCTTCTATATTTATGTCTAGGGAATATACTGCCCAATCAGGGGCGCACCTCCCAGAAATGTCCAAATCTAACTCAAGCAAAGCTAGCCACCAAGGAAAACTAGAGAGTAAGACACCTTCAGTTAAACCCAAGAGTTCTTTAAGCCATTCCTCTATTCCTCAAGGTTCATCCTTACACAATTCTAGGGATTACGAGTTCCTCAATCAAGTGTCTCAAGAACCTACCCAAGGTCAAGGCTTTCTTGAAGCGTGCTGGCCTTGTTGAACCACATGCCCCACCTGAGGTCAAAGCTCTCTTGAAGCATGCTGGCCTTGTTAAGCCACATGCCTCATCTAGGGCATCAAGTTATCAGTCAGGTCAGAATCAGAGTACCTCTTTAGCCCATGACCAACAAAGTCATGTGAGTTTCACCCTGTCGGTGAACCAATACTGTCAATATTCTCATCCTTCAACTCTTATAGATTCGGCTCAACCATGGGACCCTCCATCCCATAGTTAGTCTAGACCTGTCCACAAGTTATGTATAGTCATCCACCAGTGCAGCCTCTTTAGGCCACCCTAGTTTTGTACCATCAGCCACAAGCGGCCTATTCAGCGCCTGTTCAAACCCAGTATCCCCCAAGTTAGCCATACCAGTCTGCTTCATACCCTCCGACTGCAGTCTCGGCCTCTAGTCACCCTTACTAGGGATATCCTATGCACCAGGCCTCTGCTGTCCATTTTC